GGCTCAGGGTGAGTCAGGCGGCGTCGTGGCCGCACCAGCTCCCGCAGGGACGTTTCCATCCCTCGCCGCTAATTACGGGCGGCTTGGGCAGCCTGTACTTTGTAGCAAATCTGTATTCCGGAAGTTCAAACGCAGCCCTTCAAAGAAATGCCGGTTGTGCTTATGGAATCAAGCCCAAAACCTTTTGCTTGCCCAAGAGCCTAATGCCGCATCTGTTAATGTATGGAGCTAAACTTATACGTATCGGTATGTATCAGCTTCTTTTTGAGACCAGCTTATGAAATTTCAACCTTGAACGTGTCTACGTGGGATGCTTTCAGTTCCCGGGTCGCAAAATATGGTTTTTGGTTGGTTGTGCTTCTTGTACACCACAACGTATAGTTGAATAACAAGGCAACCTGTCAATTGAATTTTTCTGAAAGTATGTGGACATTACACTTAAAAAAAACGTGGTTTACAAGGGCAGGCTCTTAATTGTAGATTCTTAAGTGATTCAACATAAAAAGTATTGATTAAATGCAATACATCTTTGTGGTCTGGGTTCTTGTATCGTAAGATTCACATGTAGCATGAGCAATAAGATGTTCAGTATTTCTAGCAAATCTGTAATATATACGTGCGATAGTGGTCAAATCTGCCTTTAACTCACTTTGTAGGTTTCTCATTATATGTTACCTTTAACTTCTGGAGCGTGTTACCTAAGCTGGTTCGTTTTGTAAAGCCAGTCACGAAGGTATCTTGGCTAGATGTTTCACTACTTTGGGCAAGGACATGCCCTGTCTTCCACTGATTAAGCCATTGCAAATGTACTGCTTCACCTGCGGTGTTTGCAAAGGCTTTCTATTTTTTCAAGGCACAGGTAACTGTAAGGTTCACTTCTGTGAACCCAGTTCATCCCAGTAACTGTAGCAAGCCGCACTATGAATGAGAGAGGGTTGACTGCCTGTAACTGCAGTGATGTTGCCTATCTGGAGTATCTGTGCACGGCTGGGTGGTGATGGAGCTCTGTGCCTTATCCTGTGTTTTAACAGAGTTCAGAAACTTTGTCCTTTCTGTTTTTCCTTTCATCAGTATTTCTCAATACTGAAACGGTACTAATGTTCAAGTGCATGCTGTGTCACCACTTCCATATTGTACTATGTACGGATTGATTGCCCAGGCCCGAAAGCGCAAGGATAAGGGATGCCAAAGGGAGAGGAGGAACTCCTGAAGCTGCTAAGAGAAATGTTTTTGAAATAACGTCTTTAACGTTGGATAAATTCACTGCTGGCCAAATAGGCGTGGAAGTGAGCGCATCATTAAAATGTATTATTTATGTAGCCAACCAGGTATGCAGCTTAAATAGTAAAGCTGAGTACCAGCCTTTCTGGGTAATGGCGTTGTTCAGTTTTTGCACTTGGAATAGGGAGATGTTTTTCTAGTTAGTCAGATTGAAGTGGATAGGCTGATGGAATAGGAATTGATTGCATGGGTTTGTATGGTGAATTTTTGAAGCTCTCTTCAAATTGTTTTGAATTGACCATATTGCAGTGCTGTGCTGACTCATAGTTGTCTCGACCTACTTTTCACCAATATGGAAAACAAATTCAGATATGGAGACTGGTTTCATGAGCTCTTTAAATTCTGATTTACTGTCACTGTGTGAAAGCCTGTTCTGTGGAGCCTCAGTCCTCAAAGACTTTCCTTTAGCAACAGTATTAAATAGCTCCTAACGTGGAAATTATGAGGAAAAAGTGTTTAGTTTTGACAGAGTGGAACTTTCACGTGGGCCAGCTTTCTATCTGGCACTGTTCCGTTCCAAAGGCGTGTCGTCCAATATTGTTTGCGTTTGGAGTTAACAATAGCAAATAATGGAGCCTTGGATGTATCCGTGCCGTTTCTCTAAGTATTAATTTTGTGTGGGATTATCATTCAAGAATTGCTCTTTGACTCCTGTTTGGATTAGCAAGTATTATACTGTCCGGAAACCCAACTGGTCTACTTTATAGTTTTGCTCATTTCAGTTTATTTAAAAAACAAAAAGTTTTAAAATCCTGAAGTGTGGGAAACTGTGTTTTTAGTTTAGTGTATTTAAAAAAAATTACATGCTGCAGGAACCATGGCCTTAGGTTCATGATCTTAACATAAAAGTGTGTATGTACTATGTATGGATTTTTGCCTGTGCGTTTTTAATGTCAGCTTTCCTTTGGTTTTACTTATGGACCTTTTCAAAAATATTAATAAGGGAGTACTTCCATTTACAAAATTATAACTTATTTCAACAAAATCCGTGTATAATATTGCTGACAAGCAAAGTGGAGATAACTTGGAGACTTTGAAATAAACATTTTTCAGGAGAAACAGTGCCAGTGTGTTTGCTGACTTCTATTATTATGGCTTGTTTTGCAGGTGGAACTTGACGTCTTGTGGAACAAGTGTAGCCAGCTCAGAGTGCAGCGAAGAGTTGTTTTCATCGGTTTCAGTTGGTGATCAAGATGACTGTTATTCCTTGTTGGATGACCAGGAGTTCACCTCTTTTGATCTGTTCCCCGAGGGTAGCGTCTGCAGTGACGTCTCTTCCTCTATCAGCACGTACTGGGATTGGTCAGACAGTGAGTTTGAATGGCAGGTAAATGAGTTCCATTGTAAAGATAAAATTCTGGAGAGACTGTTAAATGCTGGGTTTCATTTTAAGTGAAAAATCCTTAGCACTTGTTTCTTGATAGGTGCTGAAAGCTAAGGGCAGATACCTGAAACTTCAGTGATAAAGAATGTGTTTTGTTTTATTCCGGACTTCTTAGTCTGGAGGAGAGAGTAAGGCCATTTTTTTGATGAGAGGTTGTTACATACTATGGTTTCAAGATTTTAGTGACCAATGTGTATTTTGTAGCCATGAGCTTAGATCCTATGTACTGTGGATCTGCCCTGCTAACGAAGTGTGGTTACAGCTATCTGATTCCAGCGACTTAGCGATATTGAATCTTCTTTGGAGTGGAGCTGGCAGTAGATAAAGCATAGAAGCTGTTACTGTGGCCAATATCCGTTTTCTTTCTGTGCCAATAAGAATACAGAGCTCACTTGATGTATCCCCAGAATGGGAAAAGCATGAAAGTGAATCTTGTGCTGCTCTCTGTCTGGTCCGTATTATGTGCGGTCCTGGTCAGGTATCTGTTGTTTGTGGTTTTCTTCTTTGTACAGCAATCTTTCAGTTGAGTTGTGCAATTTTTTTATATTACAAGCTTTGACTGAGTGTCAACGTATATATGAATTTGAAAAAGGAAATGTGATGCTTCAGGATACACTGAAAGATGCTTTCAAAATTTGTCATGGAGGCATAGATATGCAGTCTTCTAAGTGTGATCTCAAAGTCTGAAGCATGAATCCTGTTGCAGAGAAAATGCAAATGAATTTAAGATAACATGGACTGAAATTAGCTCTGAATTTCTTACTGTTTTAGTCTGACTGCTGGTTTCTCTATGTACATTGTACCAAAGGAGTTACAGTTGCATTTACATAATGCAGCCTGTAGAAGCAACTGAGATTGGATCCCAATGATTCAGTGCTTCACTGAGTTGTGACATTTTAGTTGCCTGATAAACTGTGGGGATTATCTCAGAAAGAAGCAATTTCCCACATCTTGGTTAGCTAACAACACTTTTGATTAGTAACTAGATTTTTTTTTTTTAGCAAGCATTTGTTATTAAGAGATGTACTTGATTGGACTTGCAGAATTTTAGAAATACTTTTTCCATAGTTTTTTACAGTGTTATCTGGCAGCATCTGAGCATGAGTAATCCAACTGTCACTGTAACTGTTGATGCATTCCTAAATTACGTGTCAGTTGTATAAATGAAGCTAAATTTCTGCAGTTCCTTCCAGGAAAATGATGGTGATTTAATTCAATTGTCTTGTGTAATTACTGGATGTGATGTAAATTAGATATCTACTTTAAAATGTTCTTTCTTAAACTAGAATTATGTTTTAGAAAGGGAGGTTTATATTTATTTGTAGTGGACAATTTACACCCTTCATGGAGAAGGGAAATAGTAAAACGCTACATTTTTCTGTTATTTCCTTGAATGCAAATTTTAAAGAGGATTGATAAGCGTAGGAAGTATGGTTTGAGTTTGCTGTACACCAGTTCTAAACATTGTTATAAGATTAAAACAAGTACTGCAGGCTTATGAGTAGCTATTAAGAAGTTTGACAGAGTGCGTAGATAACCAAAGCTCTGTTAATTTGACAGTATGTTTTGATTTGTTAATAGCGTTGGAATGACTTTAAACGTGCCTACCATATTCTAAGGCTTTGTTCTACTTCTTTTGCATATTACAAGTTGCCTGGCAGCGACATTACAAGTGGGAGTGATGTACTTTCTGATGTTATACCTAGTATTCCAAGCTCTCCTTGTCTGCTTCCAAAAAAGAAAAACAAGCATAGGAATCTCGATGAACTTCCATGGAGTGCGATGACAAATGATGAACAGGTGAAACTGTCTTTTTCCTACGTGAGAACTGTAAGATACAGAACGATTTTTAATTAGCGCTGCATCTTAAGCCATGCTGGTTGCTGTAGATGCAAATGAAGCCCTATGCAGTAGTATTTGATTCTTGAAACTGAATTTTCTTGTCTGTTGCCTCTGTGGTAGGTAGTTTAACTTGTACTTTTCCGCTCTGAGTTTGAAGATACTCAGAAATCAGGTAAGAATCCTAGGAAGTGTGATATTTGAGAACGTTTTGCTCTGCCGGTTCCTTCCTTTTATTTTTGTCATTCTTCTAAAATCAATGATACTTGAAAAATGACCTGCTTTTCTCTGGATCCTAGGTAGAATATATTGAATATTTGAGTCGTAAAGTCAGTACGGAGATGGGCCTTCGAGAGCAACTTGACATTATTAAAATTATTGATCCTACTGCTCAGATATCCCCTACAGATAGTGAATTCATTATTGAATTGAACTGTCTCACAGATGAAAAACTGAAACAGGTAGGTTAAGATTTGTATATATGCCTTTTAAAATTATTGTTATTAGCCTTCCAGCATCTGGTGTGTCTTGTAAAATGTCCTAAAGGATCGTGATAAAATTTTCTGCATAGTCACTAGATCCAAGTAGATACTATGATATTGTCCAGGAGAAAGCTAGAGTTCAAAAGCGTATTGTAGATATTGGAGCTTTGCATGAAAGATTCTGATTATATAGTCTCAGTAATTGTTAGAAGTCTGTCACTCAATTTTGAAATGCTGGCACGTATGTAGTGAGTTATGCTCTGGGACCAGTACTACTTATAACTAAATTTAATCCACTTCATAAGCAACAGCTGGTTCAGGCTCTTAATTTGCTCACGGAAAGTAAACTAGAGTTTAAAACTGCAGTGGATTGGAATTTGTTGGGGGGAGACCATAAACTTCACATAAAAAGGGATATAAAACAGTGCATTTAAAGGTGTTACAAAATGCAAATTAGTTTAACAGAGAAGGATGTTAACTGTTTGGTATTGTAGATATGCTATTGTCTTCTTAGTCTTCATTAAGTTGTGATGTGTTATTGGGGAAAGACAGCATACAGAATCCAGACATGCTGAACTTCACAAAAATAATGATATGCAGAGAATGTGATGAAAGCAAAGACTGAAAATAGCAAATGTTTACTGCTTTTATGGACTTGGCTGACTTCATGGTTCAAGCAGTTTATAAATATCATCTTAAAGTAGAAAGGTACCGCTTTCCTTGTGGCCACTTTTGTTTAGGTATACCTAGCAAAATAAAGGTTTTTAATGTTGCACCTGAATGATTTAATTTAGTTGAAATTGACTGATGTTCTTGTTTGGGGTTGTTATTATAACTTGCTGTTACCTAGCAGAAAACTAGGAGTGGGGGAAAAGGGGGACCCTCCCACTCCCCCACAAAACTCTGCTAATTAGTTTTCTTCCTTCTGTATTTAAGTTAATATTAAAGATGTTAAGCCAGTAGTCCTCTTAATGGTTGTGCGATGGCTTGGGATTTAGCCAGCCACAGCAAAATGTTTAAAAAGGCTAACTGAACTAATCCAAGATATGTGATCGTTATTAATAGGAAACTGTATTTTACTGTGAAACAGAGTATCCCAATATAGTATTTATTAGGCTTTAGTAATTCTGCTGCCTCTGTCTTGAAGGTGAGAAACTATATCAAGGAGCATGGGCCTCGACAACGATCTGCTAGGGAAAGCTGGAAGAGGAGCAGCTACAGCTGTGCAAGTACCAGTGGTGTGAGCGGTGCCAGTGTCAGCAGCAGCAGTGCAAGCATGGTCAGCTCTGCAAGCAGCAGCGGTTCTAGTGTTGGCAACTCTGCTTCAAACTCGAGTGCCAACATGAGTCGAGCGCACAGTGATAGTAACTTGTCCACAAGTGCTGCGGAAAGAATCCGGGATTCAAAAGTAAAGTTTCTAATCATGTGCATGTGTATTAACCTGTGTAACTTGTTAAAGTTGCTTATGTGATCTTGTTTGGGATACTTGTACTGAAGGAGTGTGACCAGCAACTGTGAATCTGCTGAACTTATCTATTTAAATCAGTGTTGACTGTTTCCTCTGGCATGACCATAAGGAATCTAACCTTTTGTTCTTCTCATCATTTTTCCTGTAAGTGAAAGTCTGTTGATGTTTGCATGTGGTAGATCTTCTGATTGCTTTTGGTTGTTTTGAATAAGGTGAGTGCTCGAAGGGCTGATGCATCTAACTTCATTCGTTGAATGAATGCACAGTTTTACCAATAAAATTTATTCAAGATTCATCGGTCTCATCTAGCCATAATTTCTGGATAGTCAAGACTCTCTTCATATTTTACGACTAGAAGGTTTTCATCAGGCTTTTCGAATCTTCTTCAATTTACTCTTCCTGCATGTCTCATGAGATTACTTGGTGAGGAGGGACATACTGAAGCATTATTCAATAAAAGTAGTAGTGTGGCACTTGTCCTGTCTCCATAATTTCAATTTCAAGTGTGGAGGAGAGGAACAGTTCCTACTTGCTCTTCAACATCCCAAGTTGGACTTTGGTTCTATCTCATACTGTAGGGTTGTAACTTTTCTTCTATAATAAAGATTCTCTGATCGAAGACTCGGCTATGCAACATAACAGGGTGATGTTATGCCATATAACTGAGACATGGTAAACAGTCTTGATCTACAAAGTTGAACAAAACTTACATACTAATCTAATGCAGTTAAAGCTTATTCAAGCTATAATAAGCTTATTTACTTTACATTAGTGTCAAATATGATTTTGGATGAATGCTTGTACCACCTTTGAAAACTCATTTCAGTTGTCTTTCAGAGCAGATTTTAATTTAGAGGTTAATGTATGATTTTTTTTTTTTTGGTTTAAAAAGCAATTTCTAATCTACAGAACAATCTTATTTTTTTTCTTATCTATATTTTTTGACAGAAACGTTCTAAGCAACGGAAACTACAGCAAAAGGCTTTACGCAAGAGACAGCTGAAAGAACAAAGACAGGCTCGTAAGGAAAGACTGAGCGGATTATTTCTTAATGAAGAAGTGCTATCTCTAAAAGTGACTGAGGAGGACCATGAAGGAGATGTGGATGTTTTAATGTGACAGGGGTGAATTTATCAGTGTTCTTTCTAAGCCTTAACTGTATTATCCTTATTGTTTACATACATTTCTTGACCAAATTTTGATTAGTGTTAACGATATAAGCCAGACTTTCTCAAGTGTAACTTTGGTAAGACATTTTAAGTGTTGAGTAACTTGAACTTTTTGAGACTAATTTTGCAACAGATACTTCAGAAGCTTCAGTGACTTCTGAAAAGCTGCTGAATAGATACTATTTAACGGAGAAATGAATTTGGCTAATATCCTACTTACCTAAAGAAATCAGTCTAGGGATGCTTTTGGATGACACTAAGCATGCAGTTCTATGCTTCAGCTTTTTTTTTTTTTTTTTTTTACCTAGTTAGAGTTAATGTTACATTTGGCTTCTTCTGTCTCTTCCTTGTTTGTTATTGGGAAGGCTGTTTAGCATGAGAAACAAGTCTTTACATAGGGCTTTCTTTGATCTTGCTCTTGGATCATACAAAATCAAAACACTGTGATAAGTCTTCTTTCCAGAAGCTGTGATTGTGATTTTTATCAAACTACACAGAAAACAAGAAGCAGGACTTCTAATGTAGAGAGCCTGTAATACAAATAGTACTTAATAATATAGTTCTTTAGGAAGCATTTACAATTAAAAAAAAAAAAAAACTTGCAAACTTAGTATTTAAAAAGTTATTTTGCTGCTCAGTATCTTATAGTCTGATTGTTACTGATGGTTAACCAGCACATCCCTGATATTGCTATTAAGAGATTCAAATAAAAACGTCTTTATGCATTAGAAGTACACTAATCTTCAATTAAACTGTCTAGGATGCTATTTGCAATAGTTAAATGCTACTGAAAAAAAAGTGCAAGGAACTTCAGGGTTTTTTTTTTTTTTTAAAAACCCAGAAGCCATATCTAAATATATTCATTTTGCTGGCAAGAGAACTTAGTTAATGCAGCTGTGTTTTTCAATTATATGTTAAGTCACTTTACCACCTAACAGAGTATAAGTTTTCTTTGTGGGTTGTTACATCATTACTAAAATGTTCCAGAACTCTGCTTTTGGAATATCTCTTGTTAAGAAAATGAGGCAAACTTGGGGCTTTCAGATAGGGAGGTAGAAACAGTTTTACCCTGTTTACTAACCCTGTCAAACTGTAAAGTGACTTCTGTCTTTTATCTTGGGACTACTTGCTACAGGAATCCTTCCTCTCCCCCCACTCCCCGAATCGATACTTCTAAATTCCAGTGCAAAATTCAAAGGGTTACAAAAATATTTTCTGGGTTTGAATTTAGGTGATTTGTTTATTATATTGGTGCTTCATTATTTTCATTCTTGTGAAGTAAGGAGTTCATCAGTTTGGGGCCAGAGGTACCTGTAAAGGCAGGATATAGCCCAAGCCTGCTGAATTGCATGATTGACTTTGTATGGGTGTGGGACTATTCATGTCCATCTTGTAAGTCCCCCACACTTATTATCCCTGATGGTGGCCTTTTAGGGAGCTTCACTTAAACGTCAGTCTTGGCAAGCTTTTAAACTAAATTGGGGAGAAACTGCATTCTACGAGTGGTGAAATGCGAACAGTAATGCATTTGAGATCTTACATCAGAATAAGACCAACAGCGAAAACTAATATATTCGTAAGAGATAATGAATCTACCTGTAGCACCTCTAGGGCTACCTTACTATCACAATATGGGCATGCAGTTCGAAGTACAAACTGCAAATTGAGAACCACTTGTGCGTTGTTGTAGTGTACATTAGACTTCCAAAATGGCTGGAATGTGTTTATTTCAGAGGTGGTATTCTGTGTAGCTGCCGAACAGTCTGAACAATAAAATATTTAAACCTATAGCCTCTGAAAGGGCTTTGATAAACAAATGAATGAGGTTCATGGTCAATATAGTATGTGTAAATTTGAACACTCTCACTGCCACTTGACCACAAGTACTCGGACTTGGCCAGTGGCCAGTTAAAAACTTAAGTAATGGTATTTTAAACTCTCATACTACCTATCCCATATTGCCAGTCGTTTGGCCACTAACCAGAAGTGACTGTTACCTGTCAGTGTTCCTTGCACAGTACTATAGCCAGTTGATGTCCCCCTTTCCTTGTATAGAAACAATATTAAAAACCTTCTTAACAGTGTACAAATTACTGAGAATTTAGACTGACTTAAATGTGGAGTTTATTTTTAGGAAAAAACTATATTGCTATCGATTTGGCTACTTTCAGGACGAATTAATCATGAAACGTTTCCCTGTCTTTGTGTGCACTGTTACAGTTCAAGTTCGGGACAGCCTTTATTCTCTGCAGTGATTTTTGAAATAGGAATCTCTGCCTCCCTCCAAAAAACCCCCCCCCAAATGCACGCTTAATACTGTGAAGCACTGAAACTCTGAAAGGAATTGTAAGAAGGGTGCGATACCTCCATGTGGTGGAGCGGAAAAGTATCACTTTATTCTGTATCAGCAGTTCTTCAGAACTTAAAATCCTTCTGGCTTTGTTGAGAGGAGACTCCTCTTTCTGAAGAGGTACAGCTCTTTCTGGTCCCCTTTCTACCAGCTTCCAGGGAACATGAAATGAGGGAGGGATGGTGGTTAGCCTGATATTAGTGTGAACAGGTAATTAATCCAAATACTAGGTGGTTCCAATTACTGATTATTGTATTGGATGAAAAAGTCCTGGGTGCCACAGTAGCTAATGGTGGTAGCTCATCTCCAGTTCGGAACTTCAATCACTTGTGTTAACAGTTCAAAAGATGGATTTCCAGGAGCACCATGTTAACAATTTATAGCCGTGTAGCCTCCTAGTTTCAGGAGGCTTATAGCTTAAGAATACAAAACTGTGGAAGTTCTGATCAGAATGCAGATGATCTCTGTGTTGTCGCTTACCTGAATGTTATCTTTGTCAAGTACTTGGCACCTCAGAAAATCAGACCTGAAGTAGCTGTGGTATTCCAGAGTGGTTGCATCTTTACTTTCTTCAGTGCTCAATATTATATCAGATCCTTTGTAGTTCTAGTGACAAACTTTTTTTTTTTTTTTTTTAATCCAAGGTGTTTTTTATCAGATTCTGGGGCCTTTCCTTGCAATGTGCTGGATGCTTACAATTTGTGCTGGATACCTGTGGCATCAGTCTAGCAGTTGGAATTTTAGTTAGATCTTGTTTTGCTGATTTGGCTGTTAGCCATTGCTGCTCCAGCTTTGCTTTACAGGAGGTTATCTAGAACTTGTTGAGTTGAGGTAGCTATAGAATGACAACAGGCTGCTGAAATTCTGAGTTCTTTGCAGTGCTTTTTGAAAAGGAATCAAATCTCTGTTTTTTCATTGATGGAAATATCAAGCTCAGAAGTAAAATAGAAACAAACAAAGAGCTAATAGTTGTATGGCTCCATCGTACTGAAGCTATGTATCTAGGTGCTTTAAACCCGTTGTAATATGAATGTAATCAGTTTACACTCTGTAACATTAACTATTTGCTTCCATGGTAATCTTTTCTCTAAAAAGGCTTAGAAGGAGCACTGAAAGTCTGATTGCAAGAGCACTGTAAACAGTACAGAAGATTCTTTTTTAATATGATTTTAAATATGAGGAAGAAAACTAGCTGCCTGACAGACCTATTTGTTTAATTTTTGTGTATGTACCTAACTTCAGCACCCTTTGTCTGTGTTAAGACATGACCTATTTTTCTTTATCTGGGAAACTAATTGAAGGATGATTATAGTATGTTCAGTATGGGATGCTTACTGAGAGGAGCAAGCAAAGTCTTGCAAGACTGGTCTGGGCTTAACTTTTAGTTCTTACATTGTGGTTTGAAACCTGTGAAGATCATTCTCTGGGGAAAAAACTGCTCGAATTTATTCGTATGCATTTACATCAGAGCGCGTATTAGAGAAACATAAAAATGGCAATATTTACTGTTCACCTAAGCTAAATGGCCTGAGGCCATTACTTTTTCCGAAGACTCTGAGCTTTGAAATCAGTTGACACCTTGCTCTATAAATATTAATAACCTGGCTGTTTTGAGGGTGCTCTTGAAGTTCACTTTTTCATAAGCCAGATTTTCATGGCAAATATCGTTAGATTTATTGCTTTAATGTTCTTGAGTTTACTGTTCCTGTGGTTCTTGGGCACAGAAAATATCTGGTCAACATGCAATTTTCCATTTAAGGATTGCTTATTAATACACCAAGTGCAAATGTTAGTGAAATTCAAAGCTTGTCTATTTTGACTATTGAGTCTCATTAATCATACCTGCATTTCTCTCTTATCTGGGAAACTTTAAAACATTTCCAAATTGCAAATAAATTCTTAAATACAAAGGAAGAAGGTGATGTTGAAGCCTTGAATATAATTCATAACCAAAGCAAGGAGAAAGTGGGATTTTGTGGTGTGTGTGGGTTTGTTTTTGCTTTTTTTTTGTTTTTTGGGTTTTTTGGGGGGAGGGAGAGTAGGGAGTGGAAGGTTGGATGGGTAGATTAGAATGAATGGAACTGGTTAAATTGAGGCTTCTCTCTCTCTCTGTTTTTTTTTTTTTTTTTCCCCCCTCCGCAGGTTCTCTGCTAATTGTATTCCTACAATGCACTTTTGTATAGAAAACTGTCCTCTGTACATTCTGTACCTACTTTCCACAATGTTTATAAGAGACTTTTTCTGAAGTTGTGAAGGATTTACCAATGGCTACAATGATGGTGACTGATGCTGTTTATTTCAAGCTTTCATTGTATTTGAGAATAGTCATGTGCATATCAAAGTACGGGTTGGAATTAAAACTGACAACACAGCAAAGATGTTCTGATGAAACTATGTGGTATCTTGTTCAGAACGGGGGGAGGTTTATGCAAAGGGCTTGTGTACTCACTGCTTAGGCAGAAAATACGAATAAACGTAGCATGTAACAACTATCCTCGGTGCTGGAAAGCAAACCGGTCCCTCCTCACTAGTTCAGTTTTGGTTATCTACAACACCTAATCAGAATTGTTTCACAGGAAAATTATTTTTTTTTTTTTGTTCTGAACAATGTAACCCCAGATACTGCATCAGACACTCTCTACCCTTAGTTGTTGATTTTATGCCAGAGGATTGTTGTTTGTTTTTTAAATGTTTTGTTTTATTCTCGTATTCTTCTGCCTGCTCTTTCTCCTCTGCTCCTAGGAAGTGTATATCACATAGGAAGTGTAATCACTTCTGTTGCCAGTGGTAATTCTAGATCTTCCTCAGCTGTCGCCCTCAATGTCCATAGTCATCAAACTGTCACTTATCCTGTAATGTTTAAAATCCCTACTGGGACCTTCTTATAGGCTGATAACCTACCATACTCTTAGAGTTCATCATATGACTCCTGTGTGTCAGCATATTGTAAATCTAGATCTCATTTACTAGAGCAGAAGCAAGTATGCTCAGGGAGTTCAGAAGCTGCACGCGAGGACCTGTGGCACCTGCAAGGGCATGGCAGTGGCTACAGCTCTGTAATAACTGGTGGTTTGAGCGGGCTGCAGTGAGGACACTCTTGCCAGTACCTATATGTTCTGTGATGTCCCTGAACTTGCTATGAAATTCACCTTCTTCTACAGTGTTGACCTTTTCAAGTGTAACATAATGAAAATTTCTTTTTCCCCCTGGAATTCAGCAGAAAAAGCCTGAAAATCTGATAAGAGAGAAGCTAATTTAGGGTTATATCTATCAGTGCTTCAGACAGCCTCTTGCATCGCCTCAGGCGTATTGAACTGCCTTGTTCATCCCAGCGAAGGCTCTGATTTTTGTTTGAATTTTGACTTCCATAAGTGCTTGACATTTGCACCCCTGGCCTGTTTCTGTAGGTATTAAGGGATGGAGGGGGACAGATGGGGGTAGAAACGTTGCAGGTCACAGCAAGTCTTGTCAAACTGTTAGAGACCTTTAATTGTTGTGGAGACTGTGGCTGGAAGCCGCAGAACTTAACTGCAGAAACTACTGCTCTTACAATGCTTTGGACTTACTCCAGCACCGTGCTCGTTCTTTGTCTGCCCTCATCCAAGAGGGAAAGCCGGTGGAGGGGGTTTTGCAGCAGCAGAACAAACTGAAATATTGCTAAGGACCTTGACTTGTTGTGATGGTCTCCAGCGTTAAGGATTTATTGCACCCTGGAGATCCTCTGGAAGCTGCAGGGGGGGCTGATGCTGGCGCTGTGTGACCCGCAGGCTGCCAGCGCGCGCCGCTGGGCTGCTGCGCCGGGCCGAGCCCGGCAAGCGACTCCTCAGTGGACTTCAGACCTTTCCCAGCAGATCCTGCCATAGCGGCTCATGACTGAGGTAACGGCTGCGTGGCTGCGCGATGATCCTCCCTGGCAAGGGGCTGCCTGTCTGTCAAGTCATGTAGGCACAGCTAAGTAAGCTCATTACCCCTACTAAAAACTGTTGCAATTTCTCTCTTAAGTGTACTGCGTTTCACTGCAATGAGATTTTCTTCTGTGGCAGTCAGACACAAGCTGAACTGAATCTGCCGCTTTGGCAAAAAATTTGATAAAATTTCTGTTTCAGATTATAGGGGAAGATGGCATTGGTTATGAACTTGCTGTCCCCAGCCCTCCCTTACTACTGGCCTGAACTATATCCAAACAGCTCCTAGTACTCAAGTCGTTCTAGTTTGGTTCCTAGATCCTTCATCAAAGGTGAAGTATCTCTAATGTTAATCTGTGCATCCTACCAGATGTAAAAGAAAGTTTATTCGCCTTGTTTTAGAGCGTTCATCCCTTCTGCATAGTTTCTCTGGTGCTGAGATGAGATTTAGGTTCAACTCCGCGTTCTGGCCGGAGAGCGCGTTTCCTGTTCTCCTGTACGCGCCGCCGTGACTTGCACTGGCAGCATCGCTGGCGTGGGAACTTGTTTCTCGTAGCGTAGGCGACTTCCCTGAAGCTTGGCTGTGATTGTTCGTGGTGGCTGTGGAGTCTTGCCAGCGCTGCTAGAGCTGCAGTAACTGCCACGTTGCTACAGAGGTTCTTTTGGAGGAAGAATATTTATTGCTGCAGCTGAGATTTAGTGACCACCAAATTTGGTTAACTAAGCTTTTAAAGACAAGTCACTCATCAGTGTGTATTTCCACTAGAGGGAGTGCTGTGGTCATTTTACTAGCCTTTGACACTATAGCTGCTAAGCTTGCTTGGCAACGTGCTTTTTAAATTTAAGTTTTAAATGCTTGTACTGCTACTGTACTGCTACTTTAAATTTCCCAATCTTTGTTTCAATTTCAGCCTTCCTCAACGTGGGCCATGAATTTTGCTGTTGAAAATAGTAGGTGCTCATAGAAAATGAGCAGTCAGTTCCAAACGCACTGAGTTGCATAATGCAGATACTGGCCCGT